AGAGGGAACATCCTTGCCTTGTACCTCATCTTAGTGGGAGAAGCATTCAGTTTTTCACCATTAAGTGTGATGTTAGCTGTTGGTTTTTTTTTGTTTTTGTTTTTGTTTTTTGGTGAGGAAGATTAGCCCTGAGCTAACATCTGTTGCCAATCCTCTTTTTACTGAGGAAGATTGGCCCTGGGGTAACATCCGTGCCCATCTTCCTCTACTTTATACGTGGGACGCCTGCCACAGCATGGCTTGATAAACGGTGTGTAGGTCTGTGCTGGGCATCCGAACCTGTGACTCCTGGGCCGCCGAAGCAGAGTGTGCAAACTTAACCACTATGCCACCGGGCCAGCCTCAACTGTTGGGTTTTTGTAGATATTCCTTTTTTTTTTTTTGTGAGGAAGATCAGCCCTGGGCTAACATCCGATGCTAATCCTCCTCTTTTTTTTTGGCTGAGGAAGATTGGCCCTGGGCTAACGTCCATGCCCATCTTCCTGTACTTTATATGGGATGCCGCCACAGCATGGCCTGACAAGTGGTGCATCAGTGTGCACCCAGGATCCGAACTCAGGCCACCAGCAGCGGAGTGCACGCACTTAACCGCTACGCCGTGGGGCCGGCCCTTTCATTCCTATTTATTGCTGAATAATATTCCATTGTAAGGATATACTGTATTTTGTTTATCCATTCATCAATTGATGGACAGTTGGGTTGTTTTTACTTTTTGGCTATTATGAATAGTAATATGAACATTTGTCTACAAGTTTTTGTGTAGACATATGTTTTCATTTCTCTTGGATATATGCCTATGAGTAGAATTGCTGGGTGATGTGATAACTCTATGTTTAACCTTTTTAGGAACTGCAAGACTTTTCCACAGTGGCTACATCATTTTGTTTTCTACCAGCAGTGTATGAGGGTTTCAGTTTTTCCACATCCTCCTTAACTCTCACCTGTCTTTTTGATTATAGCCATCCTAGTGAGTGTGAAGCGATATCTCACTGTGGTTTTGTTTTGCGTTTCCCTGATGATTAATGATGGTGAGCATCTTTTCATGTGTTTATTGGCCATTTGTATGTGTGCTTTGGAAAAATGTCAATTCAGATCCTTTGCCCATTTAAAAATTGTCTTTTTATTATTGAATTTTAAGAGTTCTTTATATATTCTAGGTACAAGTCCTTTGTTAGACATATGATTAGCAAACATTTTCTCCTTGGCTTGTCTTTTCACTTTCTTGATGGTGTCCTTTGGAGCACAAAAGTTTTTAGTTTTGATGAAGTCGAAGAGCTCATTCTGACTGCTGTTTATGAGCATGGATTCTAGTGGGCAGGTGTGGAAGCAGGAGAGCAGTTGTTAGAAGAACATTGCACTGGTCCAGGGGAGAGGTGTGATGGCTTCATCCCAGGCATGGCCACAGAGTTGGTGAGAAGGAGTCAGGTGTGAGATAGTGAGGAGATAGAGCTGATGGAACAAGGTGAGGGATGTTGTTAGGGGTGAGGGAGAGGGAGAAATCAGGGATGAATGCTAGGGTTTCAGCTTAAACAATTTTGAATCAAAATTTGATTATGCTGTCTGTTACCTGCTGCAGAATTGTGATAATTTTTAATCCCTGCTAGAGCCTGGTAAGTGAGCCCTACACTCCCTTCTTACTCATTTTGAAGTTGCTTTTGGTAGTAGTATCATTAATTGTGCTGAGGAGATAGTTCCAGGGACTCTGACCTTCTGTAATATCAATTAATACCTCCTAAGTCACCTCACATAAACATATAATCTAAGTTAGAATAGTGCGCCTGCTCTGCACTTCCTCTGACCCACTTCTAACCAGACTGCAGTCTCAAAGCCCCTCCTGTATAGAGATTGTGGAGCTGTCACTGAAGAGTATCAAGTCAAGTGAATGAATTTTTGAAATCTAAATGTCATAATTTGACATCTACTTTGAGGAAAAAGATTTTTAAAGGAGGAAATAATACTAGCTGACATTTGTGAAGTGCTTTGTACTTTCACTTGCTTCCTAGACGATCTCGTCAGCTAAAAGCAGAAATTAAAACATTTTGGCTGAGAAAATTTTGGTTAATGCATACAGTGTGTTCTCTACAGGTTTCCTATATAGTCATTAAAAATCATGTTCTAGGGAATATTTAATGACATGGCAAATGCTCATTATTTATTAAGTGAAAAACTGTGTATGTCCACACCATGTATCTGTAGCTATCTGTATATACAGTATATCTCTGTATGATAGGATCATGAGTGGCTTTTATTTACTTCTTTGTACTTTTCTATATTTCCAAATTTTTGATACTGAACATTTATAACTGTTGTAAAAAGAAAATTTAATTTTAAAAACGACATAAATTATGGAGCATCAGTGTGTTCGCGTGCACACTCATCAAAGAAACAAATCCTTTACTGCTCCTGTGCTGCCCTTAGGCTTGAAGATGGAAAGGAGATTGTTGAAATGGGAACAGTTTCCTCATCTATAAAATGGAGAGAACAATAGTGCCTACCTCATAGTTTTTTTGTGAGTAGTTATTGAGTTAGTGTGCTAAGAATGGTTTCTATTAAGTAACAGTGTTAGCTGTTACCATTATTGTTGTTGTTGTTTTGGCTTTTGTGTCCCATGTCCTTAAAATGATCTACATGGTTGCCCAAGGTGTCTGCCAGTGGCCGTTCTCTCTTGAGCTTGCCTCATGGCGATTTCATTCTCATTTGATTTCTGGGTCATGTGTCTTGCCCACCTCTCTGGAGTACTTGCACAAAGCAAGGATTGGGGAGCGTGGATATCTCTTAGCCCAGGCCGTCTTGCCCTTAAAAAGTTGTAAATTTATGAACTGTGCTGCTGTATGGACAGGACCAGTGTTCACCATCCAGATTTCTGTTGCACTAGGCATTTAAAACTGTGTGACCTTGGGCAAACTTCTGAACCTTCCAGAGCTTCAACTTCTGCTAAAAGAAAGTATATTAGTGTTCTTAACCATCACAGAGGGATATGATTATTATTATTTGCTTAATTTTAGGAAAATTCTCATAAGTTTTACCCTGCTTACTTCACTGTATTGGCTGTTGTGACTATCAAATGAAATAGGAATCAGAAAATGCTTGGAGGGCCGTCCCCATGGATTAGCGGTTAAGTGCGCGTGCTCTGCTACTGGCAGCCCGGGTTCGGATCCCGGGTGCGCACCGACGCGCCGCTTCTCCGGCCATGCTGAGGCCGCGTCCCACATACAGCAACTAGAAGGATGTGCAGCTATGACACACAACTATCTACTGGGGCTTTGGGGGGAAAAAAAAGGAGGAGGATTGGCAATGGATATTAGCTCAGAGCAGGTCTTCCTCAGCAAAAGGAGGAGGATTAGCATGGATGTTGGCTCAGGGCTGATCTTCGTCACCAAAAAAAAAGAAAATGCTTGGAAAACTGGATATGTTGTACTGATCTCGGAGTTATTATTCCAGCATTGAATTGGGGCTGTATTGGAGAAAAGACGATATTTTGCTGCTCTTCCATTCTTGTCACTCATTCCTTCCTTGCAAATTTTTCTTTTTCATAACTCATTCATTCATTCAGTAAATACTTACTGAGCACCTCTGTTGTGCCTGACCCTTTTCCAGGTGCCGGGGGCTAGAGAGGTGAGCGGGGCAGATGTGGGCTCTGGTCTTGTGGAGCTCGCAGACCAGTGGTGTTGGAGGGGGTCAGGCAGAGATGGCCAGTCAACAAAAAAGAAAGAGGATGTGTGGAGAAAGTAAAGCAGAGGGAGGGGATGTGAGAGAGTGCTCAGTGGGGGCAGGGAGGCCACTTTAGGGAGTGGGCAGGTAAGGCCTTTTGAGGAGGGGACATTTTAGCAGGGACCTACATGTTGAGAAGAATCAAAAGCTGAGTGACATCTGGAGAATGAGCATTCCAGGCAGAAGGAGCAGCCAATGCCGAGCCCCTGGGTGAGGAGGAGTTGGGTATATTTCCATAGAAGAGGGCTTAGAGGTCAGTCAGCCAACTCTAGACATTGGAAACCCACGGTTCAAAAATACTGTAAATCCGGCATCCCAAGAAGTTTCTTCTCTGGAGCTTTGAAAGTCTCCATAGACCTAAAGGGCTAAAATATCCCTCCAGGTCTAATCAGGTACAGAGCATCCACCTGCAGCTGTCGATTGTCTGTCAGAGATGTAACCGTGATAATGGAAAGGGCCCAGGACTGGAGAGAGAAGACCCAGAGTCAAGTCTCACCTGTGTGATCTTGGGCAAGTCTTGTGACCTGTGGCCCTCAGTACCTTCATCTAAAAGTTGGGGATGATGTCACCTATCTTTAAATGAGTGAGTGAGCACTTCACAGATTATAACGTGCTGTGTGAGGATTGAGTATTTTTATCGAGGGAAGCTTTGACTCCAAAGTGCCAAGCAGTATGGGTCTGAGTGTGGTACAGATGAGAGGGGCTGTATAGCTGTGGCTCTGAGTGCTGGGGAGGCTGAGGAGGCTGGGGGCATCCAGCTGTGGATCTGTTTCTCCACACAGTGAGTGTGTTTCTGTGTCTGGGACTGGTTCACTGTTGTCCTGCTAAAGAGTGTCTTTACTGTTTCACATTCCATCCATCCTGGCGGGCTTCCTTGGTCAGGATGTTTCCAGTGACACCTTTTCCACACTCTAATCCACTCCGCTCTCTCCCTCTTCTCATTGAGACCCACAGATTAGCACCTAATCACATGTGATTTTGTGTCTCTTCACTGTTTCTTTTGCCTCCCTGGCTAGATCATAAGCTACTTGGAGTAAGAACTGTTTTTAATATTCTTTCCACTCCTCCATAGTATTTATCACAAAATAAATTACAGGGGCCAGTGCATATTGAAGTACACTTTGACTTAAAATGCTCAAAAGTGATCTTAATGATATCTGGTTTACTTTCTCTGTTTAATTAATCTCCAGCTATAATTTTTCCTGGAAGTTCCTTGTTCCCACTATTAAACATGACTTCTCGTTGGCATAGCTAGGCACTGAAAGAATTATAAGTGTTTTGTTCCTTAGCCCCCAGGTTTCCTTGATGCCAAGTAAACATTTCAGTTTCCTGCCTGAAGATCATCTGTGGAAACCTTGGCCATGGCATCCATATCAGAGCCTGTTACCTTCAGAGAGTTCTGCCCTTTGTATTATCTCCTCAATGCCATTCCCACAAAGATCCAGAAGGGTTTCCGCTCTATCGTGGTCTACCTCACAGCCCTCGATACCAATGGGGACTACATTGCCGTGGGCAGCAGCATCGGCATGCTCTATCTGTACTGCCGGCACTTCAACCAGATGAAAAAATACAACTTTGAGGTGAGTCTTGCTCTTCTTTACGCCTTAGCGTGCATGAGCCGTGGCTCATTTTTAACATGGCTGTGAGTTCTAGGGTGGGATAGTTTACTTCTGATTTGCTAGAATATGGCCGTAGTACCTCACCCATACAATACTTTAAAACCATCTTTAAGTGAGGTGTAATATAACTAGAAAAGTTGATGTTTTTAACTTTTTTTCCTGCCTCCAAAAATCTAGCATCACTTTAAAGAACATTTTACTGTTTAACACTTAATAGAAAACGTTGGAAGTAGGTGTTTTTTTTAAATGTCATGTTTCTCAAAGTACCTTGACCGACTTACTTGAATAATCTCTAGTTATTCTGTTGAAATTATTGTGCAAAAAAAGATTAGTATCATTATTGGCTCGCTGCCAGAACATGTACCTCTTAAATAAGATCACTTTTGGAGAACACTGCCATTGGGATCCTGACCGACCTCTGTTCTGTGTTGGTTGACTTCGGCATGTCTGTGTGTTGTAGATGTTGGTAGGCACCAAGTATTGATGGACCATCTTTGAATTCACCAATTTATTCAGTGTCTGTGGTTTGTTAAGTACATGGCTTTTGTGAGAGACTCAAGGGTGACTGAGTTGTGGCTTCTACCTCATGGCCTCGTGGAGCTCTACTCTGTGGTTAGTGGGCTTTTACAGACTAAGACAAGGCTTTTGTGTTTAAGAGAAATGTTTATGAATATCTGTATTTTAATCATTATCAACTTATTAAATTTTTAATTTAAAAATTACTTTTTCTTATGCCTCTGTGCTCAATTTAAAATAACAAAAATGGTAGGCCGGCTCCGTGGCTTAGCGGTTAAGTGCGCGCGCTCCGCTACTGGCAGCCCGGGTTCAGATCCCAGGCACGCACCGACGCACCGCTTCTCCGGCCATGCTGAGGCCACGTCCCACATACAGCAACTGGAAGGATATGCAACTATGACATACAACTATCTACTGGGGC